ATTTAAAAATGCATAAACCGCGTCTATGACCGCTTGGATGTTTTTCCACCTTGCAGATCTAGTAGCATGCATTAGGGATGAAAACACCATATGGTGGACAGGTACGCCCTGCAGGGAGGGCTGCCCTGTTACGTTCCACTGTGGTGCGTTCTCGAACCCGAAAACACTTCAGTGGCACGGGTGCATCGCCCACCGCCGGTGGTTCTGCGTCAGGCCTCCAAATTCAGGAAAACAAAAAAGCTACTGCCACCTTCTGTTTGTTACTGCTGGTGTTGGGATCGCCTCGGTTGAGTTATGCATTTGGCAATGCCACAAGCCATAGATAAATAAACCGGCCTCTCATCTGAAAGCAAAAACAAAAACAAAAACATCAAACGTCCACTTGGGATAACCTAAGGATACTCTGAAATGCCCATGGACCACATTGGCGAGCATAGCTCCATCTGCCTTTGATAGAACAGGGGTACGCCTCACCAAAGCCCAAATCGTCATCCAAGCAGAAAATACATCTGCCCCCGGCTCCCAGTGATAGACACAAACGTCTTCATCGCTATGCAGATCATAGCTGATAGCAGTGCTTCGGAGACTAGTGACTGTTTCTCTTGCACATACTTTCCCTCCTGGTACTCCCCAACTCATGCTATAAACACCAGATCAACCAGTTATCTTGGTTCACTCCCGCCAGCCCTTATACATCTGATTCTCACACCACGATTCTGCGCGTATATGTCGGCTTCTACTAGATTCCTTGTAATGTAACATCGTATGTTGGCAAACCCAACCCCTGATCGCTAGCCCACCAAGTAAAAATCCGTCTACATCCTATTCCATATAATCACTTGTCGTCACCCTAGTTGCAGCAGACGTCAAGTTTGCTTTCTATGTATATTAATGCATATTATCCCATTTGATACTCCCTCAAACTTACCATTTTTTACGAGTCTCATCCCATCCCCTTATCTTCCCAAGCATTGAACTCTGGAAGTGCCCGGTAAGGACGACCTGGTTGGCTTATAACCATTCCACCTGGTCTAAGATCTGAAAACACGGGATCAATAAACGGACCGGGAAAACCTGTGAACCCATATTGACTTCGTTCCAGCTTGTTCCATCGGCCAGGCTGAAATGAATCCCACTGTCCAAGGAACTGCACACCCTAGCTAAATCACCTTAAATGTGACGTCCGTTACGGGGATGTCCAAAAACCGAAGCATGTCAGGCCAATGATGGCACGACACTGCCACACTCAGTTTGATAGCGTACCCTCAACTGTTCCATTCCTCCTCCCAACCATGCCCTCTTGCCTACTCGTTCCACTGACTGCATACATGACAAACTCCTCAACTACCTCCATGACATCCCAACCTGCTGGACCACCAGTTCGAATTGAACCATCTCTGTGTTTCTGCGTCCGCACCCAACCTAACCCCTGCGCCTGACTTCCCTATAACGGTGCAACCAGTAAGTCTGCTTGTTCCCAGGTTGCACCATATTTTTATACAAAACTTGTTCCCCCAAGTCGAATTATTCCATCTACACCTCCACTTTTGCTCGATGTGACTCCGGCCATTTACTCAACCGCCCAAGGTCACTCATGACATGCAATGGTTTTCCAGTTTTAGTTCATTTAATCCGGCGAAGTCTTTGAATGCCCACTGTTGCCTAAACGATGTGAAAGAAATTTTTATTGTCATTTCATCAATTACTTCCCAATGTTTGACATTGTCCTCTTTTTGTGCAATCCTCACTACCCGCACGTTCCCCGGTCATGCCCCATTCTGGTCATGCCCACAAAATGGTAATACACATTATTATTACTATTATATCTTTATTATTAGTATTAATCTCGAAGGAGCGTGTGTCAATAGGGGCCGACGCTTTTGCAAGATCAACGTTGCGTCAGGAGTTAAAGGCAGGCGATTGGCCGCATGCCACGGTAGGATATTAGTTCACTCACTATCTTATGCAATAAAGCCCTTCGATTTGCCAGGTCAATGTAAAGCTGAGTCTCGTTCGGTAATGCCGACAGAAGTCAGCTAGTGATTGGGGCAAAAAGGGAAATGTCGAATAGTACTACTGAGCCGTCTGGATTTACTTCGAGCGCTCCATCGCCCGGCCACGAGTGGTGATGCGGTTGAGTGCCGGGCCTTTAGCCTGCAAAGCGCTTCTTTGTGCACAGTGAGTGGAAGGATGATAAGGAATCATGGCGTAACAACCGCTTGTAGGAAAACGGCAGTGTTGATATTATCCGAATCGATTTAAGGAGTAGTAAGCTTTGCTGGAATGGTGACCACAACCTTATTACTCAAGGAATAAACCAAGTAAATTAATGCATAATTTCAACAGACTCCAGAAGATTCTCCTCTACCGGTTGCGTGGGAGTTACAAGATATGGTCTACGACCATGTGGTTGTAATGGTCAGTGTAAGTGTAGTTCAAAAGTTTCCCACCCGCAACATGTTATGGGTGGAGTGGTCAAAATGCATGCCCCCAGTCTTTTATGAATAACTCACTTGAGAGCACTATGGGGTTATTGAGTTTAAAAGTATATCATATATCTGCGTTTTGTGCACCCAATAGCTACAGATGGTCGTGAATTCTGAACCGACCAGTTCTCCACGATGTCAGCATATTGCATGGATTTGCCAAGCGGTGCTGTTGAATAGTGTGGGCTGTCGCAGACCCATGAAGGGCAACCAGCGAAATGCTTGATGGTCAAGTACTGAATCATGAACTTCTTCAAAGAAAATCAGCATGGTGAAATGTAACTGCTTTCAGACAACAACGGGGAAATATCATTCACCCCGCAAATTTCCTTCGTACTGCTCTGAATCCATTCCATATAATTATCAGAACAAGGAGTGTAGTGGCGCAAGTTGGTTCCTCTTCAAGAAGTCACGCATGCAAAGACTATCGATTCTCACACCGTTCACCTTAGGATGGAAACATACAGCCTGTACTGAAAGTTATGTTTCGATAGACAAATCACCCGGGATATCTCGTATCATCTGTGCCGACTAAGTTCAAAACTTACGGAAACCGCTGAATCAATGCTGATGTCTGGCAACACGAATATGGGTCAAATAAGTGCACCTCCCGTCTGCCTGATGCGCCTTATTCTACTCCGGGCGCTTGACCAAGGCTATCGCCGACTGCTGAAGGATAAGTGTCACCATATTTTCAGCCTCACAGTCCGAATTCCTGTGCAGAAGCGATAACCAAAAAGGAGTCTATCGGCCTCCCGCTTCCTACTCGCGAACCTACTGAACTAATTGGGCCCGTTGAACGCATGTTATTGCGTATTTTTAGCCGACAGGCAATAACAATGTGTAGTGGATTTTGGCCAACACAAATAATATCCAATTCAAACGTGCCGCCGAAAATCCAGCACACCCGGCGCCGCTCCTCATGCCTGAATCTCCCAGTCTTACAAGTTTTGTTTGGTACAGCCGAGAATCCAGCACACCCGGCGCCGCTCTCCCAGTCTTACAGGTTTTGTTTGGTACGGTGCCGCACGAGGTCACTGCGGGAATTTCGGTGGCACGAGATGCGCGTTTTCAAGTGTGCCATTTCTGGTTAGCTTATTATTTTATTCTTACTTGGGAATTTCCTAGGGGATGAGATGTTTTCTGACTCTCATAAAATGAAACTCATCGACGATGCCATTTATGAGGTCGATGCTAAGTTCGTCAATGTGTCGAACAAGGTTGATGACAGTCTCATCGGAGCAAACCCCTCTGCTGAAGAAGCTGGTGAAAACTTAGATGATGGAGTTGAGCGGGTCATTGACCTGGTACATGGGAATAGGCTTTGCGAAACTCATTTTGATCCGAAAGGTTTCAAAGTTTATCTGAAGGTTGGCGTGTAATCATTCACTACTAGTCTTATCGTAGGATTACCTGAAAAAAGTGAAGGAATTGGTCGCGAAGAAGGATCCCGCGCGAGTCGAAAGTTTTCAGAAGGCTGTAGAGACGTACATGAAGAATGTCCTGGCTAATTTCAAAGATTATCAATTCTTCATCGGTGAGAAAATGGATCCTAACGGTTGTGTCGCCTTGATGAATTATCGGGAGGATGGAATGACGCCTTACTTTGTATTCTTAAAAGATGGGCTCGTAGAGGAAAAATATGTAGGTTTCGTGGTTACTCTGATAATTTTCTTTCCAGTGATTCTGATTTTGTATTAAAACTCGGAACCCCAGTGCAACGGATATTCTCTTTTCCCATTGGGCATGGAATCCCGTTCAGTCGATGCGATGCTCTCAGGCTAACTACATTAGTCATGCTGATTCAAAAGTGCTCTCTTTCAAACGAAGCTTCCAATCTATCGTGAGGCGCAGTTCCGATCACTCCCAATGACTAGTTTAACGAAGTCTTAAATTTATTTACTTCGTAACTGTAGGGCGCGGTACTGTGTCGTTAACTTATGTTAATAATTTTACTGTGCAGACGGTCGTTAGAGCACGGAAAGAACAAAGACTTGCAAGGGCTTGAAAAATTGATTCATTAGGAAATTGCATATGGCTTCTGACTATCTACCCAAGAAGCCTTTGATTACACAACAGCATCACTCCTTGTTTCGACACCATATCCGCCTCTGGACTCATCTCAGTTCTGCCAGGAGGTCTGGTACATTAGAACTCAAGAGCGGTCCGCAAGATTGAGGTGTTCGAAATGAGGAACCTAATAAGACTGCTCGAAAACCGGATTACTTCACATGCAACTTATCCGCCCCCACCCCCACTTCAAAACATTCTTCACTGTGACATCGAAGTTAACTGTGATTGTAGTGTGCGACCAAAACCAGTTCACCTGGCAAGAAGCGCCTTTTATCACACGTGAGTTGACTACGAAGTGGTCATTCGCGGTGCCCTCCATGTTTTATTGGTTCAAAAGCCACAAAGTCGATTCCTCAGTGCCGATGGAATTTGTTCACGCTACACGGAAACCAGTCAAGTGATCCGTCACAGAGACCCCTCGGTAGAGGTTGGTTGAAGAACGACACAGTGGAGAAAACTTGATAGGACCGCCTTGGGGAGGTGAGTAACCATTCAAGGATACCTAGAGTAAGAAACGTCTAAGGAGGTCTAAGAAGCATTTACGATTGCTTTCAAATAACATGGAATATTGCCGTATTCCAGTGTGTAGAAGGAATGACCCGGCAGAGCTTACTATCGCGATGGCTTTAGTAGACTGGTGCACCGAAGTGGAATTTCTACGAATCAATATAAGCAACTTCATTCAATGCAGGTATCGTATGTAAGTTTGGAGTTTTTCCGCAATATGAATGAATAATGTGTACACACCAGTTCCACTCGTTTTAGCATATTTCCTATCTCGATCCACTCTTAAATTCGGCGTTCCACCGCAGCCCGCCCTACGCCAAGACTTTCTGGCATTGTAATGCGCATTTGACCCACATGACCGGAACTTTCTCAGCACACTTGTTCATCCAATATGCTCCACCGTCAGACTTTTTGGCTTGTAATGTGGTACGAGATCGAGGTCAACCAGTTGTTACGGTGCCAATTTATTGATCGAAAGCTCCATGACATTCAACCTACTTCTCGACTACTGCACAGCCTCGAACAACCTGAAACTTTCTCAGGCCCCGTGCGTGGCAGCTAGGCATCGAAACAGTAGTACAGCCAAGGGAGCTCCAGAAACTTCCACACCGTGCTTTTCATCAAGCAAGTTCACCCTTTCCATCCCAACTCAGTTTGGTAATCGGTGAGATAATCAGATGAACGCTGAAATTTCTTCAATACTGGTTCACATAGTTAGAGACGGAAGCTTTGTTCTGAAATACGCAGACGCCGGCATTCTAGTCTTCGAAAGGGAACAGGGGGACGGTTGTTTTTGGATGAGTTAACCTAAGCCGTGTGCTTCGCAACCACAACGTGTAAGGTCATGTTTCTGAACATGCAGTTACCGGGCACGCCACTCATGTTCCGGGGAAAGACCCGACACTGGATCGTTTTGTTTATTTGAAGTTGTATTAGCTGTGGATGCAGTGTGACCGACAGGGCTAATGCACGGGTCCCTAAGACGCGGGTTGTGTTTGCCAATTTAAAACACCTATGATAGCAACGCGGCACGTCCCTGTCAGTACTGGCCTTTTTGCTATATGGCTATGAACAGAGGTGTCTCCAAACAGCTGAACTTGGGCTCCTTCATGATTCACAATTTTTGAGTTTATACGCTTCAGTCATCCAAACTGGTTCTTAGACGAGCAAGGCGTTGTTTTTCCTCAATAACCCGGACTCTGTTCTAACTCGTTCTCGGGCACATTCTAAACGTCTCATTGATCGCAGTAACCATACCTGAGTTATCGATAACCGAAACATGTTACCTTGTAATGATCCCGTGGGCTTTACTGGCTGGAACTCAGTTCCTCAAGGTTCGGTCATGCTGCGTAATCTGTGCCAAGTTGGCCAACAGATGGTTCTTGCCGAAAATTTGTTCCATCTTTCGATCGATGTATCTTGCGTCACCGAAACATGCACAGCTCGATCATTCATCTCGGGCCGCTCTGGGTGAAGCCAGATTTCTCGCACTTTACTCTTCGTGTATCTGATTATCCTGATGCAGTGGTAGCTGGTATCTTCGGCATGGGTGCCCTATTTATCCCCAGGACTGAATACACCGTAACGGAGTGGATTCCAATAAATAGTCGCTGTTAGGTTGACTGGTTCAATCAAAATCGATGCATCTTGACTTGGTGTTTGTTATGTCGGCATGCTACCACAAAGACCGCAGCTCTGAAGCTGAGAAGACAGCGAAGGGATTTGTCGCTGTTGCTCCGTTCAGCAGGAAGAATATTTTGATTCTTCAGATGTTCTCAATTCTCAGGTCTGGCAACTGAGTCCCGTCGAAACCTATCTTGGCGAACGATTAGGGCTTGATACTCACCGCATAGATAATGGGCAACTGATTCTCATACAATGCGCTGTTTCCCGCCAGCACAAGAGCTCATGCCGTGTAACCTGGAGGCCAGGAACTACAAACCAGCTGTGGAGTTATGCATACATAGATAATGGGCAACTGATTCTCATACAATGGGCTGTTTCCCGCCAGCACAAGAGCTCCTGCCGTGTAACCTGGAGGCCACGAACTACAAACCAGCTGTGGAGTTAGTTGGAACATGCGGCAGTCAGTCGCCGGTGGAGAGCGACTTAGAGTATGCCACTTAACTTCAACCACAACATTGTGCGAGCGAACTTTCCATCTGGAGCGCGGGAGTTAATGCAGGGGCATTCAATTCATCACCTGCAAAGTGTCTAGCTCAACAGCATCGGTTGGAGTTGGTTGGGAAGTTCCCATAACTCGATGATGATTTGGATGGCAGCTTGATAGATGTGAAAGGAGTCATGATCACCGCTTTTGAATCCGTCATCTCGCAGAGGATTGCACACGTAGTGAACACTGAAGCTCTCACTAAAGCCAGAAAATGCGTACCCGCAGCAAGCAACCGATAGCACGTGCAGATCTTTCAAACACGGAATAATGAAGAGCCTAAGGATGGACAGTGCGCTGTGAATCGCAGAAGCCCGGGATATGGAGAAGGCCTCAGCAATGGGGACCAGATGTACTCTGCTTAAACTTGTCTGACCAACTCTTGCTGGGGTGGATTGGTGTTGGTCAAATGATCTCCGAAAAGAAAATGGACCGTAATGCATTCACCTGAATGTCTTGAACGATGGACTGGACACTTTGAGGAACAGTTCAGCTTCTCCCTCCTATCAACCCGATCCTTAAAAGGGTCAACTGAACCCAATTGGGGTATCAGTTTCGCCGTCGTCGACGGAAGTGTAGTGTGCAATCTCATTCAGCGCAACAAATCACCTGGACCATACAGTTTGAACCCTGAAGTCATCGAAGAAGGTAGCTAGTCTTTCGTAGCTAACCTAGCGGCTCTACTACCAAGTGTCATCGTCATTGACAGCAACGCCAGGTAACTCAGTGCTTAGAGAGCGAATTTATTTACCGGAAGGCCCGTGGTCTGAACCCGATCTCAATCTCACGACTTCCCTGTCTAGTCTTGGGTGATCTGGCATTATTCCAGCCCTCGTGCTTTTTTTGAGTGGTGTGGCAGTTAGGCACCGAAAGTGTTTTAGGTGAACGGCTTTTTTACACTTGCTTCACTGCGGTACCAAAGTGCGAACATTAAAGGCCGCCAAGTTACCTGAACAATGTAGTTTGAAGTTCATGCAGTTCGAAGTTTATGTAATCATGGATTCGGATTCAACAGTAGATATTACACTTAGTGGCAATGCGTGGCAAGTGGATCTGATAGGTCTCAAAAGTGGGTCTACGAAAATGCCGATAAAACAGAGTGAAGAGGATTGTGTGAAAGAGAAAGGAGGGAGGTGTCAGCGGTGGTCTGTTTTTACTTACATGCTCTGTTGTACTCAGTAGGTAGGGCGACCTGCTTGGTGGCCCCACGCGACGGCCAATAATGCATGGAATTTTTGTAAGCATTTCACCCGTGGTTGTACGTCGGCTGGTTTGTTGCTAGGATGCTCAAACTAGACATCATCGACAGCATGACATGTGTTCAACACCGATGTTTCACTGCCGTACAGACTAGCTAGGACGATTAGGGTCCACAACCGAAGCCTTTGGCTCGAAAGCCCAATCATGAGGCAGCAATCTTCGACCTTCAGAGCAGCAAGCAAGTTCGAACCCTAGTAGGTGCTCTGTTAATGTCACACTTCTCAGTATGGCACAAACCGTGACACTTCTATAGGGTCTAGTCTCTGTGACAGATTACAAATTGCCTAGAATGAACCGCCACGTCAGTGATTCCTATATTCAAAAAAGGTGCAAGAATACCGTACGAAAAACATTAGGGGATCAATCTGGTGGCTATAGTTTCCAAGGTGTTCTCTGGCGCTACACTATGTGTACCGTCATCGCGGGGATCACACTGCGTTTCACCCCGGTGGGAGTTTCATCGATCATATCTTAACTTTGCGGCAGTTGTTGGAACTGTACTACTTTTTCCGATGACTAACAATGCCAATGCTTCTCGATCTGAATTCTGCCTTTGACTCCACGATGTTCAGAAGCTATCGGTGTCTGGCGATGAAGGATGTACCTTCTAGATCATTGTCTTTTATGAAGGCTCCATATGCCCTCTTTCGTGAGTGCATACGTGGCAAATTCTCTCTTTAGTTCACCACAT